AGGATATACTTAAAAATAAGGGGGGGGGGGAAAGATTCAGAAGGAAAATGGACTTTAGCAGATGGAAGGTAGATGTTAAATAAAACATAATAATGAGAAATTCTGTCATTAATACATCAGAAAATACATTGGGAAACGCAATCACTTTGTGATCATTTTCTTAGACAATATGGGTGTATCGAAATATATACGGTGGCTAAACAAGCAGTTGATCGATGTCTGATTTGTTAAAAAGTGAACAAAAAGGTAATGAGGAAAAGGTGGCTGGGGAACAGGAGCTAGCCATACAAAGCCCTCAGGTAGACTTAACAGAGTTACCTCAAATACAAGGGTGGAAGTATTTGTTGGTATTAGTGGCTCACTTAACTCATTGGGTGGAAGCAATCCCCCACACCAAGGGCAACCGCAAGCATGGTATCCAAGGTGTTATTGGAAAGCATTATCCCAGATATGGATTAATAGAAAGAATAGACTTGGGCAGAGGAACACATTTCATTTTAAAAATTATGCAACAACTACCTGAAGCCTTAGGGATTGAATGGGCGTGGCACACCCGATGGCATCCTCAGAGTTCTGGAAGAGGAGAAAGAATGAATCAAACTTTAAAACAAACCTTGACTAAGTTAATGATTGAGACTCAGATGTCTTGCATTAAATGCCTGCTGTTGGCCTTATTAAGGATCAATACTCAGCCACAAACAGCCCTGGGAATTTCTCCCTATGAAATGATGTTTGGATTGCCATATATGAGTAATGACAGGGATACTGTCACCCCTGAAGTAGGAGATCAGTATGTAAGAAAGTATGTAATAAGAATAGCTAACACTTTAATGAAACTAAGGAAGAAAGGGCTTCTACTTCAAACACTACCATTGGATTTTAATATCCATAATGTAAAACCAGGTGATTGGGTATTGATAAAAGTGTGGAAAGGTTAATCATTAACTCCCAAGTGGGAAGGTCCATTTCAGGTGCTGCTGACCACCGAGACAGCGATCCGAACAAAAGAAAAGGGGTGGACTCTTGCCTCCTGAGGAAAAGGACTGGTGGAAAAGCCTCAGGAGTGGACTGTGGTACCATCAACTGATCGACTACAAGTCACCCTCAAAGGACTAAGTAAATTCATCAGGAGGGGATTGAATGACTCTTAACCAGTGGTTTGACTGGGTTTTTGACTGGGTTCAGAGGTAACACTGTGAAAATTTACTTACTCATTTACTTACTTGCTGTATAAGGAAACAAAAACAAAAAATAAAATGTCAGGGAAAAGCTGGCGTTTACCGAGCATTAACTGGCAGACATGTGACAGAGTGGCTCTTGGTAATAGATTATGAGCATTTTGGATTCGATCAGGCATTGCTAGAAAATCAACCTAATAGGGTAATACCTTGTCTCGAGTGTATATGTGGATGCCATGAAGCGTGGGTTTTGTGTGAATGTGAAATGTGTCACCGGAGGTGGTATTTTTTGCAGATGGAGAAAATTGTGTTATAACTGTACAGGGAAGGGGCATGAACTGTAACCTTGATTTACGGGAAAAAAGAGGTTAGTCCCCAGAATTTGTGATGTCCCTGAGAGTTGATGGAAGGACACTATCAGGAAGTGCCAAAAATTTTGCTTTGCTTCAAAGGAGCTGCACTTGAATTGACTAACTCTTAACACACGGATTCGTTAAACAGTAGAGGGCAAGACTGGGTTAACCTCTGTGCTCGCCACCAGGAAGACTTGTATCTCAGCTGTGGGCTGCAACCCCATAGGCATGAGAGGTGGGAGTATATGTTATACCGGACCTCTGCTAATCATCCTGATAGGGTTTGCTTTAATCGTGGCAACTTTGTGCAGCAAGTGCTTTACTGTCATGTCCAACATCAGAGTGGCTTTGCTTTCCCAAAGACAGAAGGGTGGAGATATTTTTAGTGGGAAGAAGAGAATCCAAGTAAAAGATGTGACACAAGTAAAACAGCCAGTACCAAAACCGCCGAAAAGACCTATAACAGAATTTTCGACATGGTTAAACCAAACATAGACAAGGTAACAATAACTGTAACACTACCAATCAACAGCTTTCTACCCAAACCTACTTAAACAGCATGTGTCTCAGGCTGGGCCGAGGGATGTGCTCCCAGACTTTGGGGACGGGGAGGGGAAGGAGATGGTGGTTTACGTAAGCAGATACAACTACATGGGCACTTGAATGAGGAACATTTACAAGGGCAAAAGATATGTAGTAAAAAGGCAAACAAAGCGAGGGCTACCAACATCAAGGCTGCATAATAAATTGCTGCCCATACATAAGCATGCTCCATTGTTTTCACGGTTTTGGAGGTGCAAGAGTGAGAGCGCAAGTGGTCAACCCGCCTGGTCCGTAGGGATCGGGAGTCAGGGTCCGCATATGCAGCAGGAAAATGGATTTCCACGCCCCCAGTCCAAAGCGCATGTGTTGTTGGAGGGTCTCGAAAGTTCGGCTATACCCGGATGGCAAAAACAACTGCCAGGCCCGCCCAGATCTAGGCAGCACAGGCATTCTGGGTGGAAGAGAAGCTTCCGCTCATTGGGCACTTGGACCTTCCTCGGTCAAGCCGCTAGCCTGGGGCTGGACTATCCCACTAATCTTACTGATCCTGCTGGATTGCAGTCTTGGGAAGATGGGAGTAGGGGACGATCCCGTGTGCGCTGCCCTGCTGTTGGGATTTTTCATTATATTGGTGGTGACCATCGTTGCCATTGCAGTATGCGAGGGAATGTCTCGAGGCTGGTGTCGGAGAAGATCACCTCCTCCCCCCAATCCTCCAAGATCACGAAGACAACTAAGACGCCCTTGAAACCTTGATGAGGTGATGGAAACAGACTTATAGTTCAAAGAAGAAAATTTTATTAATCAGCGGAGTTACCATGCGGCGCGTGACTGTTGTTCTTGGACTCTTTCTATCTTTCTATCGCTATCGCCCCCGTGAGCAGGGGTAACAAGAGCTCAAAGGACAACATCCGAAGGACAGTGCTGATATCTTTGTTTCTTACTTTTTCTCTTTCTCATTGTGTCGCGTGGGACTTTGCTGGATTGCTATACAGTTAATTATTTCAGGTTCTTGTTTGCTAATAAATTGTTGATTATTGTTTACAGAGTGTCTGATAGTACGGTCGACTGTGCAGTTCGGCGCACAGCTCAAATTTGCTTAACGCCAACAGGTGAAACAGTAGCAGCAAATTGCATGTTGGTCACAACATGTTGGATTAACTGAACAAAGCAAGGAATAACACATGGCAAAAACATTAAGGCGACAACTGCACATAGCAGATAGATAAAAGCTGTTTTACCCATGGTGCTCCAGGTAACCAAGACCATAAACCACCCTCAGTGTTAGACTCAAAATGGTGGGATGATCTATTAGGAACTTCCTGATGGAAAAGACTGGATTTTTCTTCCTTTGTGCCATCGTGGGCTTACTATTTTTACCATGTTTAATACCTTGCTTTATATGGCTAATATCTCATGTTATCGTGGGGATGCAAATAACAGCAATGCTGGTAAACCCTGAAATGGCAGCAGTGTCTGGTGCCCACAAAGTTATGATACTAAGAAAAGAATGAGACTAAGTGTCAGTAAACTCAAGCAAAATATGGTATTAAAAAAGAAAAGGGGTGGATTGTGATAAATAATAGAAGAATTTTGCTTTCGCTAAAAGTATTTAAACAATTACTTTTACTGAGTTAGGCTAAAGCTATTATTAGTACAACGATCCAAATTTTAAGAAAAGTGAAAGAATTTACTAGTGGGAAAAGAGAAGGGGGGGAATTGATCAGAGGAAACACCAACCCAACAGCCTCCCCCCTTTTCTTGGGATGCTCACCAGATGGTCCATATCACAGGGCGGTAACTCCTTTGCAGTGGACTGAGAAAGAACAGGACGGGCCATCCCTGGTATCCCTTGTCCTTGAGATAGGAGAGGAACTGAAACCGCTGAGCCAGAAAGACAGAGGAGCTGCAAATTAGCCCAGACCTGAAGGACAAGGTGTACGTGACCACAGGGCTGAGTTGGCGCAGAAATAAGGGTCAGCGAGCGAACACGGTGAAGAAGACTACGGGCCTTCATCTGCAGCCCCCTGCCCACGACCCCCAGGGAGCACTGCGCAGGCGCGACGGGAGAAATCTGGGGTGGGGGGTATGTTAATGATTTCTCGGAACTAATTGTAATATTCCCTCCCTATCCTTAGAGTAGTGATGCATATGTATTGGAGTAGATGAATATGGAACCACTTATACAATAGAAGGGAGCCCCTTTGGCTCCAGAGGGCCTGCCATTGCGCCCAGCCCTGTATTCTTTGCTCCACTGACTTTGTCCCCAATAAAAGTTTTTTTATATATACGTGGGCTTGTTTCTCACACACAGATGTACATATATATATATATATTGATTTAGGGTACCTTACAGTAAGCTAGTGTGATTCTTGCCATTCTCAAATCTGTAATTAAGCCAGTGTTCTAATTACCACATTTTCTACCAAACCACCTCGTTAATCTTCAAATTGGTCAATTATTAAATGCTGCTAAAATTCAACCTTTTGCTCCACACCATTAATAAACCCTGAGTTGCTATTAAATCATAACTGTGTCACATTATTTTCATCCATGACACACCAGAGCACTTCACCGCCAAAACGGTACCGACACCCCGCGGCACTGCAAAGACCGCCAGAGCCCTCAAGACTGGCAGGCGGCGGTCACAGCAACGGCGACAGCGGGCAGGGCGCCCCACGCCCACGGAGGGGAGGAAGGAGGCGGGCGGGCGGGCAGGTCACAGCTCCACCCGGTACGAGGTACTCCACCCCCCCCGCAGCACGACAGACTGTGACCCCCTCCCGGCCTCGCCCACCCTGCTCGTCATTTCCATACTAGACCCCGCCCCTCTGTGTGACGAACCCGCCGTTCGCGACCTATAACAGCTGTTGCTCCGCCCCTTTCTCCTGCCGCCGTTAACGGAAGCGCCCGGAGGCCGACGCGCTCCGCCTGCTGCCCGTCCCGTACTCGTTCCCCCTCCCACCCCCCCTCCCCACCTTCCGGGCAGCATGTGGGGAGCGAGCCCGGGCTGGGCGGCCGATGCGGTGAGTGCGAGCGGGAGGGGGATGGGGGAAACGGCCGCTCCTTCCGCCTTTTTCCTCCTCAGACCGGCTCCGTCCTACGCGCGCCCCGCAGGCCGCTTCCCTTCCCCTCCCGCTTCGCCTCCGCCGGCGAGCGCGCTGCCAGGCCGGGGAAGGGGGTGGGGGGCGTAGGCCACCATCTTTGGGGAAACCTACGACCCAGTTGGAGAGGTACTGGTGCTGTGCGTAGATCGACCACTCTGCCGCGTCCGTGAGCTCTAATGGGATCAGTTCTGGAGGTGGTCGGTAAAGGGGGTGAATGCAACGGTGGTCCCCTGCAGCACAGAGGGGGTAAGTGGTGATACGGCTGCAGAGAGTGTTGTCATTTCACGTTGTGTCCTGTACTACTGCTAATGCTGTTCTCGCTTTCCCACCCTAGCCCAGCACTCTTAGCTCAACCGAGTCTCCTGCTCAGGTGCCTTGTTCTGTAAGGAAGAGCCAGAGTCCTTTATCAGTGCTGTTGTTACCAGCAGGGAACCATACAAAGTTGATGTTTGTAGGCAAAAGAGTCTTTGGCAGTAAAGCACAATCAACCAAATGGAAGTGGACAGCAGAAGATGACAGACAGATTAGCCCATCAGGATGCTTCTGTATTTTTTACTGTGAGGGTGGTGAGAAGCTGGAAGAGGTTTCCCAGAGAAGTTGTGGCTGCCTCATCCGTGTACATATACAAAGTCAGGCTGGATGGGGCTTTGAGCAAACTGATCTAGTCAAAGATGTCAGATGTCCTCGTCCATGGCAGGGGAGGGGAGGGTTGGACTAGATGAGCTTTTAAGTTCCCTTCCAGCCCAAACCATTCTGTGATTCTACATGCTGTAAAGCGTGCTTATCATTCAGACTTGCAAGTACTTCTGGAAAAAACGTGGCAATACAGCTTTTGGACAAAAAGCTGCTTGTTCCTTATAAATGGTGTGGGTTTGATTTTAAATTCATCAATAAATCGATCGATTCCCTTCAAGCATTTTGGAGTTGTATCACCTTTGTGAACAGTTACCTTGTTTTCATTGCATTTTGGTCCTTCTTCAATACTTCTGAGTATTCTGGAATCTACCTGCTTTCCCTGGACTTTGTGACCATGTGACACATGGATTGAATGTAACATTTTTGAAAACTATGGGAATAACTGTCTCCTTAGTAAATAGTTTATTCTGAAGGCTGGGTTGCCCTCCAGCACAGCATAAGCGTGGAAGGTGTTCCACTTCTTGGAAGCAAAAGTTAAGTTGAGGAAATTGTTGGAAGAGTGCCAGTCTTGGTTAAGCAGTTAGAGTGGATGAATTGCTGACTTCTGGGAGTAGGATGAGCTTCTTTCTCTGAAAGATTCCCCAACCTACTTAGAATTTTTGCTGGGGTGGGGAGTGGCACAGAGGTCATACGTGTTAGGAGATACATGCAAGTATAATCAAGTATTTTCAGAGTTTTCAGGATTTTATTGATGAATGAAGGAAAAGCTGAAATCTGTGAGAGACTGTTCTTCTGAAGGTATTCCAGCATAGTTCTTGGTAGGCTTAAACTTGCCTGTCTGCTTTTTGAACTTCCATAAACTTGCAGCATCCACAGCACACCATGAAAAAGAATTCTGTAGATTTGTCTGTTTTATGAAGAGGTTTCTCTTTAACTTGTTTTGAACTTCACATGTGCAGCCTTTGATACATGTCTCTTTCTTATGTTGGAAGAAAATGCGATTTGTTTTTCCCTATTCAGTTTTGTTACGATTTTGTAGACCTCTGTTATATCCTTCCTCAGTCCTTTTTCTTCCGTCCTGCAGAACCCTAACTATGGTAGTCATTGCTTGTGTGGAAGCTACACTGGCTTTTGCTGTGAACTTTCTCTCTAATTACAAGTATAGAGTACCAGCAATTTTACTGTGTCAATTTTAAGTGGGTGCATTAGAGGTCAAACAAACCTTCATGCAGTGTTGAAGAATAATGCACTGTGAACTTGCATGATTAAATAATTATATTCTTTGTCTTAGTTTTAAAATTTTTTCCCTAACAACTTCTGATATCCAGTCTAATTTGTTTACTGTTGGTGAGTACCTAGTAGATGTTTTCATCAAGCTATCAGATATAGCCCAAACACCCCGTTCCTGAGTGGTACTTGGAGCCTGTTGTGTATATGAATGGCCTTGGTCATATAAACATCAGTATGAAATTTAGCACCCCTCTTTGGTCTGATAAAGCCTACAGCTCTTGCTTTTACCGGCACACTTATGGACATTGAGAGAGTTTTTAAAATGTTTAACTTAAAGGATAATACTGGATAAATAGCAAATTGAGAATTTTTCTCTGAAAAAGAGAAAAAAAATACTCCCTCTACCTGCCAGGGTTTTAAGTACTGCAAAGTTGTTTTATTTTGCTTTTTTATGAATTTCTCAAATAATACATTTTTGCAAACAGTATCAACTTTTTTGTCTATGTGTGTGAATATTTCAGGAAATGCTTCAAAGGACATCAGAAGATTTTTTTCCAAAGGTGGAAAGTTCAGCTGAAGAAATGGATACCTCTGATACCCAGTGGGGCTGGTTTTATTTGGCTGAGTGTGGTAAATGGCATATGTTTCAGGTAAATACCTGTGAAGTTATATTATCTCTGATGAATTCCATACATCAAATTATCTGTTGCTGAATTTGTCTAAATGTGCTTTTTCATTTATTTTGAAGACTGATTCAAACAGTCATTGCTCTGTTAGCAGTGAAGATATCGAAAGGAGCTTCCAAACAAACCCACATGGTTCTGTTTCTTTTACTACTGCTAAATTTAACTACATGCTAGACTTTTCAGGTATGTATCTTTTCACAGAGTAAATTTAAATAAAAGATACCAGATATACCAGTTCATTTGTTCATACAGCGAATTACTGTCCTCGTATCTAGTGCAAAAACTTGTGATTGGAAATGTATTCTGTACTGAAAAGTACATAGAAGTTTTTAGAAGCAGCTCCCCTGTTGCGTTTTCTAGTGTAGTTTACTAATAAAGTAGCATGTCTTGTTTAGTAGTTCTCCATCATGTTACTGCCACTTAACTCAGCTGTAGGTGGTATGTAGCATACACCTATGAGACTGGGAAGTTTGAACCTTTTTTCTTTAATGTGCAACTGCTGGCAAGCTTGAAAAACTTCTGTATAAGAAACATTGATAGGAAAGAAGCTTTCTGCAAAATACTGGCATTAAAGTGATTTTATAATTCATCAGGTGGTTGAAGCCAATTCTGTTGCCAGAATAACAAGGTGATAGGCAAAAGGATTTTCTAGTAGACTGTAAAGGTTTCATTTATACCATGCTTGTAAATTACAGACTCTTACAGGATTCTAATATGTACATTAATTATAAATTAATTTGTCCTTTTTTCAAAGGTGTGTTCTAATGACTTCCTTTTTATTTTTTTTCTTTTCAATCCATAGATTGTTTATTTTCTGATTTAATTATGAAACAGCACTATGCTTAAATAGAAGCCTTTTCCAAATCAAAGAAAATAATAGTATTTCAAATACAGAAAATGGGGACAGGGTAAAACATGGATGTACTGCGAGTAAAGTAGTATGTACCAATACAAGGAGTTTTATGCTTACTTGTGTTGAAATGTCTGTTTGAAAAAGTTTTGTTTTGCATTCAGAATAAAAACATTAATGCAAATACTAAGCAATAATTTGTATGTTGCTGTTTGTAACTCATGATGTCTTGCATTAAGGATAGTAGTAATGTGCTTTGTCATCCTAGTTGTATTAAAGTCAGTGGAAGCTTTGCCAGTGATTTAGTGGAGCTGAGTGTTAGATGGGTATTTTAACAATAAACATTTTGTTTATGTAATTTTTGCACATTTTGCCAACTCGTTTAAATGACAGTGAGTCTGAGGCCTGTATTTAGAAACATTTATCGAAAATGCTGATTTGTTAATTGTTGAAATAGGAATTCCTGTCAAGCAACTGTGGGGGTAGTGATGTTATTTTAAAGACACTTAAATGTTTCATATGCTATAGATGCATTCCAGAAACTTTCATCCTAACTCTTGTTTTATGCTCAGTGATGAAACAAACCAACCTAACTACCCTTAAGCAACGTCCAATAAAACGAGCTCCCTTTTCTATCAGTGCTTTCAGGTAAGGAAATAAAAGGAAGGCTCCTTATTTTTATTTTATTCCTGATTTTTCAAAGTAAAATGAAAGAAAAAATATTTCTATTTAATTTTTACATCAAATAATTTGAGAGCTGAACTGAGGTGGGAGAGCTAGTCGAGTGAAGAAAAGACATTTCAGAGGAAAAGAGTGAGAAAAGAATTTTTAGTTTGCTTTTTATCTTTTTTTCTGAGAAAGTAAAGAACGTGTAGTTTCTGTTGTGGAATACTGATTTCCTTTGGCAAGGTTCTGAAAGCTGTGCCTGACTTCAGCCATTGGAGTCCCTTGCTGTAAATACCTGTTGAATCAGAATTGTTGTGGAGAAGCAGCAGCAAAAAATAGGAGTAGTTTGTTCCATTGTAATAATGACTTCATAAATTATTTAGAAGTATTATTGTAACAGCAAAAAAGATTTCTATTTTCTTGCCTGTATGTTTTAATCATTTACTCTAAAATGATTTGAAATTACAAGAAATTGCATCAAACCCCCTGCAGGTTGTTTTATGAGTTTAATTGCTTTAGATTGTAAGTTTCTTATAATTTGATTGGTCATTAGATGTAAAGATGTGCTTGTGTAAATCTGATACTAAACAATAAACTGATCTATGCAGTGATACTATCACAGGTAAAATTGACTATATGGGATATGTGGGTTTTTTTCCCCAAATAGCTTCATAGAAAAGGAATATAGTTCTGAATTGTAGTCTGGTTATACTTTCAAAAAGAAATTTGGCATTTTTAATAAGAAATGTAGTAGCAATCTTTTTATACTGATATTCAAGAAGGACTGTTTTTTTGAAGTGTCAGCTATTTATTTAATGGGTATCTGTTGAAGAGTGCATGCAATAATGTGGCAATTTGCTTGTGTTTTTTGTTTCTTGAATAATTGTATTCAGTACCCTTTTTCCATGTGATGACACCATTCTTTACTTTCAGGAGATTGCTTAATTTAGTCCCAGTTTTAAGACTTAAAAGCTGCTATGTGTGTGGTGTATATGCTTAAAAAACTTCTTTTTGTGAGGGTTTAGGTTTTTTTTAAAAAAAAAAATAAAATTCAACTATAATTTTCAGGTGTGTATTTCTAATGTGATGCTTTTAAATATGAGGACTCAGTTTCCAGAGGCTTAGGCAAGTTGTAATTCCTCATAGTTTGGAATGTCCAAGATGTATCTACACTCTCACATTTCTAAATTAGTGTTGCTTTCTTGATGATTTTGAGCTTTCTGACCACTTCTTCTGATTTGTCTTTCTAGCTTTTGTTGGATAGATGGTATATTAAAGCTGTTAATTACTATGGTTTATTTATAAAAACCTAAGCCAGAATTTGAATAAAAAATAAGACCTCTTGCCTTCTAATCTTACCTGCTGACAACAGCCTTTGTTTGAATTAAAAACCTAATTAGTTTCGTGTAAGTTCTGGGGTTTTTTGTGTACCATATTGTTGGGAGCAGGAGTTTGACAGTAAGAAAATGCCTCATGCCTTTGATATGATGTGTTTTTACCTTTTTTTGTTTGAAGTTTCATCTGTGAAAATGAGGCTATCCCTATGCCTTCACACTGGGAGAATGTAAATACTGAGGAGCCATATCAGGTAAGAGCTGGTATGCAAGTTGGTCAAAAACACATCATAATGAAATATTGCATCAAATTGAAATTGTACTAACCTCTTTTTTTCCAGCTTATTCCATTGCAAAAGAAAACAAATGAATATAATGAAGTTTCTAGTCTCTTTGGAAAAACAATGGATAGCCACCGAATTAAAAGAATTAAGAGAATACAAAATCTAGACTTGTGGGAGTTTTTTTGCAGGTGAGATTATTTCTAAAAACCAAGAGTCTTAGGATTGTTTACTGAGCAAATCTTGAAGGCATGAAGCAGAAATATGTTTAATTGCTTTTATTATTAATGAAAATAAGTGTTACTTTTTATCTTTTTACAAAATTTCTTATTTGCATTCTTCTGTATTCAAAATCCCATTTTCAGGACTGTAACTGCTGCAAGTGCAGAAATGTAGAAATGCATTAGATGTAGCACAAATAAAACCAGTGCATTAAAGATGTTGAGGATGTCCAAGTGGTAGATGCCTATGATACTTACAGTGAAGTAAGGAGAACAAAAATAAGCTTTACGTAAAACAAGTCCTTGACAGGCTTGTATTATTTTTAATTTTTAGTGAACAAAGCAAATTAGTATATGTGGCTTGTTTAACTTCTCAACTTTATAAAACCTAGGACAGAATTAAGTGACCAATTAGCACGTATTAATGTAATTTCTTTAGTATGCTACAAAAGCTTTTTCTAAGTTCTCTGCTTTTCTTTCTTCATATTGTGCTAGCCTGGAAGAAGTAGGAAGTGCAGAGTTCTGTTTCCACTTACTTCATAGTATCAATCTTAAGCAGTTGCATTTGGCAAAAGTTACTTGTGTAGCCTCTAAGGAGTACCTATTGGAATCAGCTTTAAAGATGGATTACGCTATTAAAACCAACTGAACTAAGTTAAATAATGAGGAAATAAGGAAATGTATATTAAAATTTTGCATAAGTTGTATGATTTTTTGAAAGATATGTAATTTATTAATTAAAAGCTATATCATTAATATGCATAAGGAAATGAATTTAAGTTCTTGGTTAAGAGAGTTAGCCTTTTCTTCATTACAGATCTGTTTGGTTATATTTGCTTGTTTAAGTATTAAGGCTCACATGCTTGGCCTTCTGTTTCAATATCTACATTTCTACAAATAAGTTTCTGCAGAGGTGTATTTATACCATCTTAATACCAATCTTAGTTTTTGAGAATATGAATTGTAAATAGACAAAATTGTAAATATCCTTTGAGTCTCTAGGGGCGGGGCAGAAGATGACCTTTTTGCTTAGCTTAGGAACTGATGTCATTTGGAGAGAGTGTACTAGTTTTCCTAGCTAGTCAGTGAGTAGAATTCATGGTTTAAGAACTCTGAATCTATGGATGCTGTGCTAGAATATTCTCAAGGTACGAGACTGAGAATGGAAATTAGAATTTCATACGTCAGGAGTATTACAGTGTTGCCGTATAACTAACTACGAAAGAAGGTACTTTTTAGTACCTGTACGGTATAATAGTATATGGAGAAAAGCAATATCAGTTTTAAAACTTTTTTCCAGTGTTAAAAAAAATACAAGTAACAATGAAAATTGCTAGAATAAGTGTATGCAGTTGAGGCTTAGCTGCTTTTCTGCTGAGGGTAAAATACAGCCTTGGAGTAGATGGGCTTACACACACTGGTATAGAAATTATTGCCCAGTAGTATGTTACAAAGAAGTAGGTATTCCAGCATTTCCAATTCACTAGAAGTTATTTTGGTGTCCCATGTAGGAAAGTGAAATTGACAGAAGATGAATTTTAGTCTAACATATTTTGGAGTTTGAAGCTGTAGAGGAATACAGCAAGTAGAAAATGGTGCTTGCTCAATGAGATTTGCTGACTGTCTTTATAAACAGCTTGAGTACTTGCATATGTACAAAGAGCGTATCTCTGGGTGTTTAGTTTTGCTTTAGCTTTCTCATTTGAATGAACTAGCTGTATGGGAGCCTTCTGAGTGGTAGATCAACTTCATTTTGGTTTACTGGATTAGCTTGTCACTGCTGGTGGAAAGTGCTAAGACAGTGGTTTTTTGTAGTAGTTGGACTCCTCCGTTTCTGTTCCAAATCAGCAGAAAGTCCTTCTGTGGCATTTCTGCATTCTGCAAATCCAGCTTCCCAGTGTGATCAGCATATTCCACTACTTATGAAGAACAATTGCTACTTAAACTTTTGTGGATTTGAGCAAGTGTTTTATTTCATTCATAAGGTCAGTGACTAAATTCAAACATTGCTTGAATGATTATTTGCATCACTGTGGTCAAAACATGTTTGCCTGTTCCCATATTAATGACAGTTTTAAATTGGTATTATGAAATCAACTAGTTGGAGATAGCAAAGATGTTACAGAACATTTTTGGACGATTGATTATATACCTTTTCTGTAAATTTGTGCTGTTCCCCTATTTCAAGAGAAGTTACTGTAGGCTACCTTACACATTGTCAGAGATCAGCAGCCAATGATAAAGGGATGCTGATTGAAAAATTTCAAATGTTCAGCCTTAGCTCAGCAGTGTTGCCTTACACAGGTAGTTTTCTCAAGATGCAGGGAATCATGGGTCCTGGGATTTGTTGAGTAGTTAACAGAGTGGAACTTGAGTGCCTGGAACCTCTCTGCCTTTGACACAAGATGTCACAAATGAGATTATTAGTGAAATCTCCCAGATGCCCTTGAGGTTCTACTGATATTCTTCTGATTTGGAAAGCAGTTTTAGGGGAAAAAAACACCAAAAAAATGAAGTTGCCAAGACGCAGTTATTTTAGTTTGCACTAAATGGAGGAGAAAAAAAGCAAGCTGAAAAATAAAACAGAATAAACACATCTTTCAAGCTAAGAACTCCAAGATTTTCAGTTGCAGCATCATGCCGTTAATATGATGAAGAATATTAACTGCCTTTTTCCCCATACCTGATTGATTAGACTTCCTCAGACTACATCTAAACTGTAGGCCCTGAGAACACTTCCCCAGTTCAGGTGTGCACTCCAGTTATAAGCCGATTGCTTAATTTGGTAAACCTAAGTATATGCCTGATAAACGCAAGTATGTAGCACACTGCCCCATGCACTCTGGCTTTTATGAGAAGAAAATTCAGGTACATAGACAAGAACAAAGCTATGATGCACTCTGACTTATTTTTGTCTGGACAGTCAAGGGATCATAACTATGAACAGCTCAGTGATTTAGATACAAATTGAGTGTCCACTTCTTCATGGATCTTAGGAAAACCCAGATGACAGTCAGTTAAAAAAAACTGATGGAAACGACATCAGTTCTGTAATTGAAGGTATGCCACGGCCTTCTGTCCATGAGACTGTAATATAGGTTCACCTGTAGTATAAGTTTTTTTCAAAATTCTAGACTAATGTAAACCTGTCATGAATGCCTTACCTGTTTCAGGAAGTATGCAAACCATAAATTTAGAAAACCATTATAAAATTATCATAGTGAAATAATTTCACCTAAAAATACAGGTAATTTTATTTTTAATATTTTTGCTGGTTTACCTGGGTAATTATACTTTATAATCCACTGACTTTATCCCTCCCACCATACTATTTAAGTAGGTGGAGCGGGAAAAGTACCTTTCTCTTAAAAATGTATCTGCAGAAAATGAAACTAATGCTAAATGAACAACATTGATAAAATTGGTATAAAAGACTTTTTTCCTAATCTTGGATTACTTTTGAAAATAGTCCACAACATCCAGAGTGTGTGATTTCTAAAAAGGTGTCTTAAGAATTCTGATCTGTTTAAAATCTAGAATCATCTAGACACTTGTGAAAGTGAAACGTATGGAATGTTTTGGGTCTGTCCCCTCTGCAGTGTTTTCAGAGTAGTAATTTAATTTGGTTGTACAGATGTTTGTAATGCTGTATTATGTGTTCTTTGTAGGAAGAAAGCTCAACTAAAGAAGAAAAGAGGTGTCCCAGCTATTAATGAGCAGATGTTATTTCATGGCACCAGTAATGAATTTGTAGAAGCAATATGTATTCATAACTTTGACTGGAGAATAAATGGAATGCATGCTGCTGTATATGGAAAAGGTCAGTATTTTTGTCACATACAACAGTTTGGTAATCTTAACAGTTCAACATTAAGTGTTCCCTATAGTATGTTCTTTGTGATTTACTCCCTGTTTAATATAGCTCTGATTTTACAGCAAATGTAGTTAAGAAAGTTAGGATGCAGTAAGGAATGTAATTGTCGCGACTGGCTGGTAGGACCAGGGAGTGTGGGGAGGGGATGCCCAGCAAAGTAGTGTTGATCACAAGACCATCTCCCTACTAAAACGTTCCGACTAAAAATATTCAGTCATGTTGCTATAATCTAATGATTTAGAGAAAAAAAAAAAATTGCATTGTTAATGAACAGGAAAGGACATTTTTCATCATCTTGATACCTGTATCCATGCTCTAGTAGTTAAATTGTCTTGATAAGAATGTCATCGGATTTTTTTTATTTGAAAGGGACCTATTTTGCAAGAGATGCATCATATTCCAGTCGCTTCTGCAAAGAGGACATGAAGCATGGAGATACTTTCCAAATTCATGGTGTGAATCTGCAGCCTTATTTGCAAAGACCAGATAAAGTTATGTTTCTCGCTCGTGTATTAACTGGTGACTATATCAATGGTGATTCAAAATACATGAGGCCTCCTTCAAAAGATGGAAGTTTTGTGAACTTATATGACAGCTGCGTGGATAATACCTGGAACCCAAAGATCTTTGTTATCTTTGATGCCAATCAAATCTACCCTGAGTACTTAATAGAATTCTGTTAAGTTTAAAAAGAACTGAACTGAATATTATTTGAGTCTTTTTGATACTTTTGTTCCTTTTGTAAAGACCACAACATAAAAACATGAAGCATGAAAGGAGAGAGGTGAAAGAAAAGCTAGCATATGTTTATGGAAGAGGGAAGCTGTTGAACATTTAAGAAAGACTGTTGAACTGTTTTTAAAAATACGTAAACTTTACTAATGTGTTTTTCAAATATAGAGATTATTACAAATTTGCAGTTGCTTAGTGAGCCTTAAATATATTGGGCATTGGTAAGTTTTCAAAGGCAAGATTTATGTTTTGTTTTTTTAAAATATATTACAAGTATTTATTCATGTGGTAGAAATATACCCATAATATAGTATACATATGATGATACCAATCTTTTATGAAGATTGTCTGTAGAACATAAAAATAACAGCAACCAAAAAAAACCCCAGGGAACTTGGCTACATGTGTGCATATGTCTGTGTCTGTAGTACACATTGCTCTGTGTTTGGAGGTCTCTTAGTTTGGATTCTAAACCCATAGAAAAAATGATCTGGAGAAAACTGATGAAGGAGCTATAAAGTTAACCAAAGCTGTTATGTTTAACTTTAGGTACCTTTTACGGTAAGCTACAGTTACATACTTGTAAAGATTTAATCATATATTTGCAAAATTGCAAAATCCTTGCACTAGGTGTTGGACTTTGGTTTTGATGGAAGTGATACACATAAGCTTTTGTGGTTAATTGTTTGGTATGTAATTGCTGAGCTCAGTGTTGAGATATCAGCAGGTCCATACACCTTTCTGAATTCTTATTCTATAGAATTTTTGCCCTCTTGTTATAGTGTGCATGTGCATGCACTAACATTCATGCAGCTGCTATGCTACTGTGATTCTTGGTCAGGGCTTACGTAGTACTCAGTGCTTGTCTACTTTTTGTTACTGAAGACGATGTTTAGATTAATTTTACTGGAAATAATACAGTTAAACTAACAATGAAAATTTCAAAATATGCCATCCTTTAAGTTTTAAACACTTTAATAGAAAGCTTTCAGTAACACGTGTTGATCGGGTTTTCCTAACAGGTATAGTTGTGAAGTTAAAGTGTGTTTTTCACATGTAGAAAGAGCAAAAGAGACGGACGGTATTTGGGTAAAGAACAAACCTGGGTACCTAAATACATGAAGAGCCTGAAGAAGGGGTTGCTTCAGTAAAATGCACTGAAATGTTAAGCCATGTCCTACAAAATTGTATCCCTAGTGTGTGTTAAAGGACCTAAGGAGGACTAAGGTAGAGTAAAACAAGGTCTAAGTGGAAGCCTTTCAGGCTGCTTTGGCTACTACCAGTAACAAATCCTTACAGAAATATATAATTATGGCAGATGCAGAATAATCTGTGTTAGTCTGTCATGGAATTGCTAATGGACTTTTTGGATCAAACGTTATGTTTAAGATCCGTTGTATTTAAAAGGCACTGCAGCTGGCATGACCAAGTCTGCTCAAAATCACATTAAACCTATGGAACTAGAAGCAGAATATGACTACTATCTGGCATTATAGCTGAAGATGCAAAACATCTGTTCCTCCTCCTTAGTGCTGTTATCTTTGACTGTCAGTGGATCTTGCACAAGTTGGGTGTCTGTATTTGTAATTTCATGGCAGCTTTTCCTTTTGCTTCTCCTCCTAAACTGTCTAGGGCTAAGATGCATTTTCCTTTATGTTGGTGCAACAGCGAGTATGATCTCTGATCCCAGTTGGGAACTCCAGGTTCTCCTGTCGTAAACATGATTTGTGTTCAATTCACCGCTATGCTAGCTGTGTAAAAGGCACATTGTTCCCCACATTGTATGAAATATTTAATAGCAAATCACACAGGGAATTTGTATATTACTGACTCCTTTTTATTCTTATACAGTATTCTACAGAACATACATTTTATGAAGCATATATGTGCTGTTCTTCATTTTATTTGGGCTTTTATTTCTTCTGAGGTCTGAACTGATATTTTAGTTAAGAAACATGTTCTTTTTTTGTGTGTCTCATGAACACAAAATACCATAATCTATACTAATTTTCCTGACTTTTCCAGTTGTTTGTGTGGTGGTATCTTGTTTACTACTTAACTCACTTGAATGGAAGTATCTTAATCTTACCAAATCACTGTACAGTTATAGTTTCAGCTGCGCTTTTAATATACTGTTCTGCTTTCTGGTGTCCATTTTTGTCCTGATGAATCTTGATACTGAGGGTATCTGTAAAGTAGCCATCCTTTTGTTGACAAGGGGAGATTATTACTGTAACTCTACAAGTGGCCAATACAAGAAATAGTTGGACTTAATAAAAGGAACAATGAGAGAGAATAGGAGGAAAATAATTTCTTGGACTACAGAGCATTAAAGAAAAGGGATTTGGTCTGATTTCTGGGTCAAGAAACTGGCTATTTTCTGTTACTATTTCATGTAGTGAAACTTTATGCTCCATTGTCTTTTTACAGACAGCATGTCCTTGTGAGAAACAAGCCCACGTATATATAAAAAAAAAGGTTTTATTGGGGACAAAGTCAGTGGAGCAAAGAATACAGCGCTGGGTGCAATGGCACGCCCTCTGGAGCCAAAGGGGCTCCCTGTTATTGTATAAATGGTTCCATGTTCATCTACTCTAATACATATGCATCACTACTCTAAGGATAGGGAGGGAATATTACAATTAGTTCTGAGAAATCATTAACATACCCCCCACCCCAGATTTCTCCCGTCGCGCCTGCGCAGTGCTCCCTGGGGGTCGTGGGCAGGGGGCTGCAGATGAAGGCCCGTAGTCTTCTTCACCGTGTTCGCTCGCTGACCCTTCCTTCTGCACAAACTCAGTCCTGTGGTCACGTACACCTTGTCCTTCAGGTCTGGGCTAATTTGCAGCTCCTTTGTCTTTCTGGCTCAGCGGTTTCAGTTCCTCTCTTACCTCAAGGACAAGGGATACCAGGGATGGCCCGTCCTGTTCTTTCTCAGTCCACTGCAAAGGAGTTACCGCCCTGTGATATGGACCATCTGGTGAGCATCCCAAGGGGGGGGGGGCTGTTGGGTTGGTGTTTCCTCAGATCAATTCCCCCCTTTTCCCACTAGTAAATTCTTTTACTTTTCTTAAAATTTGGATCGTTGTACTAACAATAGCTTTAGCCTAACTCAATAAAAGTAATTGTTTAATTACTTTTAGCAAAAGCAAAATTCTTCTGTTATTTATCATATCCTGATCTGAGGTAAAGCTTTCTGACTAAATTATTATTGTGGCAGAATGTTTTCACATAGGCACAACACTTCAGTATGAGCTGTTCTTACTTCTATATCATAGTGGCCTCCTGTGACAGCTTTGCTTTTTAGAATGGGTGTGTACTCAGTTATTGCTGAACAGATCTCATTCATCCAAAGCAGTTTGGGAGACCATCTGTCTTCATTTATAGTGTCAATTTGTACAAACTTTTGTTTTTAAGTTAAAGTCTGCAGAAACAAAAGAATGTAGCTTTAGTTTTTAACAGATGTCCCAGTACCCTCACATGCAAGTTAGATGATGAGATACCTAATGTACTGGCTGGAGTAAGTGACTTAAATTCCAGGAGTACGTTGTATGCTGGTTCAGCTGGTAGTTTGAGGACAACTCTGGTCCTTTTTAAGCCATTATCAGCACACAAGATCATAGCAGGAAGGCTAAAGTGCGTTTGTGCAGTCCACATAGGTGAAGGTTGCCTTCAGGAAGAAGACTCATCCATAATTGGTGTGCTTCTCAGTTGCCTATACAAACTGTACATCTGATGAGTACATCAGTCTTAAAATTCTGTTAATCTATATGTCCGCCAGTGTTGTAACTATGATTACTATTAGTCACTGTCCAAAACAGCAGACTCCCAAAACAGCATAGGTCTGCTCCAGTGTAGCCATCTGCTCTTGCCAAGTCACCAAAACATTGGGGGGGTCACAGATGGAATCCTTTGTAATGTGTTTGATTCTCCTGTGCTTCTTATTCTCCTCTGCTGCCACAACCCTGCAGAATTACTGAGGGAGTTTAGAGGCATAATCTCTGAGTAGCTTAAATAAGAATGTGTTTGCTTGCCTGCATATTTTTTTGTTTTTGTTTAGCAGAAAGAGGCTGCTTACATTACTGATCAATTAACTGACCTGATTTCTGCCATTTACAGAGTAGAAAAGCCTATGTCAGCAAGTCACAGTGGGGGTCAGATTTATTTTTTTTTTTCCCAAAAAACACACCTTGCATAGCAAATGGACTGAGGGACCCCGGCCCAGACTGTAGGCCCCCCTACTCACCAGCTAGTCCAGCTTAAAGGTTGCTGGTGAATATGCAGGCGCACCCCAGTCACACCAGAACTGGGGAAGACACAGACTCTTCCCCCAGTGGCTGGCACCAGGCATATGGACAGTGACCCATGGACCCTCTCCAGTGGCCCTGAGTTCCTTGCTCGCCTTGCTCACACTGTCCCCACAACAGCTGGTTTCGGGAACAGACACCCTTCCTGGCCCAGTGGCTGGGGGTTCAACACCCCCGCTGGCTCCAGTAGCTGACACTGAGACTCTGCTTGTTCCAGTCACTGGCACCACAGGCCAGGGGTGTCTGACCCCAGGAGCTGGCACCAGATTCCACTCACACACACAGAGGTCTCACCAGGAGCTGACACTGAGTCCTTGCAGCACATGTTCACACAGGACAAAGAGTGAGCATAGGCAGAGAGACGCTTAAGAAAAGATTTAATAAGAAGATACAAGAAGGTAGACCAGACTGCAGTGATCAGGCACAGTGTTCAGCTAGACAAGCATACTGGCCAGCTCCCTTTTACAGCTGACTGGGCCCACTTTGTTCCCCCCTGCTCCCTCTTCCCCTGCACATCCTCTACCCCATGGGTCTGTAGAGCTCTGCCGATTCCCGCACACCTGACAGTCCAGGGTCCCCTGGTATGCAATATTACCAGTTGCAAAGTTCAGGCTGAACTTCCTGGAAGTGGCACCTGTGGTTTCTTGATAGCCCATCAGTTACTGTGAGTGGTGAGACTTGGTTCTTGCCATTGTCTCCATGTTTGTTTTGTCAGGTCTGTGTCTCAGTGTATTTTGTTTCTGGTTTCCCCTTTTTCCCCTTAGTTTCCCAACTGACAGGTCCCTAGTCACATAACCTTGCTGGAATAAACTTTCTGACATTCTCACATGCCCTTATCAATTGATGTGACTGACCAGGTTTGGTTCTCATCACTGCCTCCCTTATGTCAGTCAGGTTTGTGTCCCTCTATGTTTTTGTTCATGGCTTCTACCTTTTCTTATTGTCCCTGTTGCACTGGAAAAGATTGACCAGATACCTTTAAAGGAGTGATGCTCATTTCACATCCCTTACAGGTAATAATGCCACATAATGTACTGCAGTTCTAGTCCCACGTTTGTCCAAACTTGGGGATTTAGTTAGATAGGTCACATTTCATTCCTATGGTAATGAATGCACACAGTAAGATCATTTGCACTGAGTCTTCATCCTGATGTCTGGACAAGAGACAGCCAAGGTGAACACAAAGACTTGGAAGCTTGCAAGTTCTTTTGAGTGGATCTTTTAATTTTTAAGACCCAACTTGAATGTATAGAAATACGAGATTACTTGTTGCATAGTGAAATAAAATGCAGTTTTATGAAGAGAGGGTGTACAGTATGGGGAAAAAGTGTTGTGGTTGGAGCTTCTTCCTGGTCCACTGCTGTAGCCCCCTCCCCCACTACCAAAAACACCTGCCACACACAGAGATCCAGTACAAAAGAATAAAGAAAATAAACTGCCCATTCAGACATTAATCAATTCCATGGAATACCATAAAATTAATTCTTCTTCCTTGTGTGCTTGGAGCTGTTACGTGTTTGATACTGCTGTCACGGTAAGGATGGTAAACCAGATCATCGTGGCTGTTTGCACACCTATTTGCAATTTTAAGATTAATTTACAGCTACTACTTTTAGAGTCGATCAAAAAAGACTGTGACTCCACTGCTAGAAACAAGTCTTAAGCTACATTCTTCTCAGCTATTGACTTCATTAAATAGAAATTTCATTAATTTCTGTATTTATATTTTGCCTGCTTAAGTGCCTTAGAATGTCTTTGAGAGTTTTTTTGTTTCACTATTTTCCTTTTTAGAAAAGCGTATTTTGCAATTGAAGAATGATAAAAGAAGAATAAGAGACTAAATGTATCAGTGTTTGTGGGAGCTGCTTGGTCCATGTGCGGAGAGTGTGCCTATGAGGAAGGAAGATATTGGAAATTACATGTTTCCTATCTGAAACCAGGAACAGTTAGATCAATTTCCTGTGTCTGCTAGCCAATAAATGCCAAATTTTACTTAAAGGGAATGAAATCATATTGACGCCACAAGGAATAACCTTAAATGTTTCTTTTCTTTACTCACGTTCTCCACTGAATGGTTTTCTTTCTTTGACTAATAAGGCAATGTACTATGTAAACCAACAACAGGTGGTGAGTATCTGACTCATGTCCTGGTTTCATGAACAATGCAAGGCAACATAAGGCCTTAGCGTGCTTACCTCCCGCTTCCGAGTCCCATACTCTGCTTGCATTCATGTTGTCATAAAGTGAACCCGACAAAAGATCTGGATCTTAGTTAAAAAGTAATTTGGAGTGGGAAAGATGGTTTGACTTAGTTACAGTTTTCTTTTTCTGGTCTACTGCATAAGTAATATATGGCTCCAGTATGGCTATCTACTGGTGACAAGACACAAAGGAAAATGGGAGAAAAATCTCAGGAAAAAATGTAACAAGAATGACAGACCTGTGTCTTTCGAAGTAGCTCCAATTTATGGTGCACTGTGCATGGAACAATGTCAATTGTAATGAAAATCTGTCACCTCAAACTTTATCAGAAGGCCATCAGGCTAATGCAGGCAGAGAAGACTTGAAGGGCAACAGCTGTACTCATCTGTGAGTACATGACTACTGCTGTAGTCACAGTAGGGTTTTTTAATTTAAAGGAGTCCTTAAGGGAAGGATCACCTAATTACCTAAAAAGTACATAGGGAAAAACCCCATTAGCTGCAATGGCCTTATACAGGGCTTAAGGCATAGAAATTGGAGCAGTCGTTATAAAGTGTGCTTGTCCTTCAACCTACTTACCTTTCTATGCCTCACTTTCCATTTAATCTCTTTTTTTATGTTTACAACACATATGGAGTGCACCTTGCAGCTGAGCTCGACTAGCACCCCAGATGCAGTTTACTGTATGAAGTGATGTGTTTAGGTTACAGACCTGGTGGTGACCTAGTAGCTAGTACATGTAATTTTTTTTCCAGACAATATCTACCTTTGGGCTGGTAAAGGTGGTTCAAGAAAGTAGCCCAACTGAGAACTGTTGGTGCAAATTAGGCTTTCAAAAGGTGAT